AATAAAATCTTAAAAAATAAAACAACTTTGGCATAGATCAGAAGAAAAGGAGAGCTAGATGGACATTTAGACCCCTGAAATCTATACCTGGGCCTATCCCTCATCCCTGCAGAAGAAACCCCTGGGACATTATTTGCTGAAATCTGGATGCACGTCAGAATTACATGGAATGGGTCTAATCAGAGATTCTGTTTCACTGGGGCTGGGTAAGATCTCGGCATCTGAATCTTGATAAATCTCTCCAGGTAGATAGAATGTGAGCTATCTCCTGACTCCTGTAGGCTGATGTAAGCTTGGGATCCATTAGCAGAAGAACAATATGTGAAACAAAGGAGGGGACAGTGCCTCAGAGCTGTGTACAGAACGCACAGCTCTGTTGGGTGGTTGGATGGAGATCTGGGGACCCCACTTCCAGAGGAACTTGAACAAGGTCATCACGGGAACAAGACCTGAATGGATGGGGACACAAAGTGACTTTTCATAAGGAAAGCACCAAAGAGGAAATGGTTGACTTTCTGAAGGTCACCCAATGAAATTTATCAATGAAAACACCTAGAAAAGAGACATACATTTCCTTTTGCTTGAAACCGATTTACAAAATCACACAAGCCAAATACCATAGAGATGAAAATAGTTGAGCATGAAGTTTCATTTTTATTTCTTAAGTAAAGTGTTTGCAAAACTCATGTCTATCAAAAACATTGGGCAGTCGAGAGTTAAGGAGAGAAATGCAGCTAGGGTGGCTAGGCTGGATGCCTTCGTCTGAGGTAGTGAAAGGTATCTTCCTGATTATCTGAGGACAGGCAGACCTGATTTTACTTGGATGCATTTCCTTGTAGGCTTTCTGATTGGAACTGAGATTTTTGTCTCTGTGGCTGATAGGCACATTCTACTCACCAAGGATATCTCTTCTTCCTCAGAGTCCGGATGCATGGACAATATGCCAAAAATTAGCATAACAGTGATCACACACACACACACACGTGCGCGCGTGCATGTGCAAGATTTGCACAAGTAAAAAACCAACCCCTATAAACTCCTTTTAAAAAATCCTGACAATCATTTTGTGAGGTAGAACTTTTTTTGTGATCTCGATGTGACTATTACCATCATTGTTATTTGCAAAGGAGAGACTATAACAAATAGCATCCAACTTGGAAATGGCAGAGCCAGGAATTGAACTTTGGTCTTCTGACCACAAATCTAATGCCCAAACAGAACCCCAAGAGGTAAAAACACAGCACTGTGGAGTTTCCTGGGGCAGTCCTAGTAAACTGCCCAAACTGGGGGGCTTCAAACATAGAAATACATTGTCTCATAGTTCTGGGGGCTGGAAGTCCCAAATCAAGGTGCCTGCATAGCTCTGCTCCCTCTGAAAAACCTTCAGGGAGAAGCATCCCTTGCCTCTTCCTGACTTCTGGTAGTTTGTTGGCAATCCCAGGCACTCCTTGGCTTGTGGATGCATAACTCTACTCCCCTCATTGTTGCTAGGGTTTTTGCTTGTGTGTCTGTCCTCACAGGGTGTTCTTTTTACAAGGACACCAGTCATATTGGATTGGGTCCCTCCCTACTCCACTAGGAACCCAACTTAAATAATTATAACTGCAACAATCCTATTTTCAAATAGAGTCACATTCTGAGGTACTGGGGGTTAAGTCTTCAGTATATCATTTTTGGAGGGGACAGAATTCCACCCATGACATAGTCTTGCAGTTTTCCCCTTGAATTATAGTTCCCCAGTACATATCTTATTATCCCAACTAGATTGTGAATTTCCCAAGAAAAAAAATTCAGTTTTACATCTGAAGGGTCCAACTGGCTGCTCTTGGGTTGGATTTGGCCTACAGGCATGTTTGTCTGCTCCGAAGTATTAGCCTACACAGTGCTTTGGGAGATTTTCTGAATTAATCTGTGAGTATTCATTTTTTAATTCTTATTTTTCTTATTGAAGTATAATTAACATACAGCGGTATATTAGTTTCCAGCGAACAACATACTGATTCAACAGTTCTATACAATGCTCAAAACGGTGGATGCTTCACGACTTTGCATGTCATCCTTGCGCAGAGACCATGCTAATCTCTGTACCATTCCAGTTTTAGTACATGTGCTGCCGAAGTGAGCCTAGTTTGTGACCATTAAAAAGTTTGGGAACTTCAAGTGAAAATCTTGATGTCTGATTTCCACGACAAACCAGAATGTTTGGTTATTTACCAGAGGAACATGGCACCATAGTTCTCAATGCCTGAAGCCTAGCAGGGGGTTCTTAGGTGGGGCAGTGCCCTCCTTGTACCACAGATATATTTATAACCTATTGGTTCTGCTTCTCTGGAGAACCTCGATTAATATACTCTTCATTCAGAAATATGTCTAACACCTAAGCCCCTCTTGCGACCTCCATTGCTGTCACTCTGGTGCAGGCCATCATTATCTCTCTTGTGGATGTTACAATTGCGGCATACCTGGAATCCCAGCGATAGTCGATTTTTCTTTTGTCTTTGTCTTCTTTTTTTTTTTAAATAAGATTTATTTATTTTAAAAAAAGAGAGAGCATGTGCGAATGAGCAGGGGGAAGGGGCAGAAGGAGAGGGAGAGAGAGAATCTCCAGCAGACTCCCTGCTGAGCGTGGAGCCCAATGCGGGGCTCGATCCCAGGACCCTGAGATCATGACCTGAGCTGAAATCAAGAGTCGGCCACTCAGCCGACTGAGCCACCCAGGCGCCTCCAGCCTATTTTTCAAGGAGCAACCAGGGTGACTCTTTAAAGTCGTAAGTCCATCATGAGACTCCTCTATTTAGTATCCTCCATTGTCTTCCATCCCACTCACGGTAGAAGCTGAAGTCCTTAGAGGCCTTCAAGGTCCTATGCAATCTGGCCTCCAACTGCTTTCTCCAACCTCATCTCTATACCCTGCCCTGCCTCATGGACTCCAACTACACATGCTTTTCCTTCCACTTGCCACCCATGGTCCAGCCTCAGGGCCTTTGCACCTGCTGCACTCTCTGCCTGGAAAGCCCTTTGTTCAGGCTAATTCATCTGAGTTACCCATATGCAAGATAGCACTTGTTTCTTGCATCTCAAGAGAAGCAACGACTTTATCCAGAATGGACTTGCCAAAATGTGTGTCTCAGCCAACTGCCTCAGGGTGTCATCTGGGACAGATGGGTTTCCTTTGGTTGGTCTTGGTCATTTGCAATTTTGGATCTCTGTTGCTGCACCTGTGTAAGAATGGTGTGCAGGCTAGTCAAGGAGAAATGATAAGTCTGAGCATTTGTCATCATGTGCACGTTAAACCATGGTTTCTCCTAATTGTCTGATTCTCATGTACCTCCCAAAATTTTAAGTGACTACTTTCTAAAGAAACTCTTGCTCTTTTATGTTAAGTCCAAGAAAACATCCTAAAACACTGCTTTGGTGAGGGAAAAGGCATGGGACATTATGGGAAGTAGATACTTTAGACAGATGTGCACAGAGGAAACATCCCCCTTGCGATCCCCCATGTGATCGGAGAGACGCTGTCCCCTTGGCCCCCCTGCCCCTGCCCTAGCCCTCCTCTCCTGGGCCTTCCATAGTGATCACCAAGCTCTGAGAGTTCACTATCAGATCATCTAATTGTTTTTCACTGTGGTCATGGCAAGAGCTTGTATATTAGAAAAGAGAAGCTCCCGAGCCGTGGAGTCAATTAGACCTGGCTCCGGTCCTGAATCTGACATTAGTAGATAGTGGGGCTTTGGACGAGTTATACGCCCCTCTTCATGAGTTTCCTCACTTATGGAATAGAGCTGATAGGGCCTCCATTATGGGCCTGTTATGGGATTTAAAGGAAGTCATGTATAGTGAGTGCCTTCCCGTGACCAACATTCAGGGACTGGGAGTCAAGATGAGTCAGCATTGAAACTGAAGCCAGACTCTGGTCACCTGAGGCTGAGCTGCTGTGTGCAGTGGAGACTCGTGACCACTGCAGGGAGACTGACCCGTGGGCTATCCTTCATACTGTCACCCCAGTGCTCCTCCCAGACTATAAACATGGCCAGGCCACCTCCCTCCTTAAAATGCATGCGAGACTGACCTTCAGTCCAGCCTGCACGTAGCCTGCACGGCAGCGGTTAGGACTCTGCCTCCTCTCGGCCGCCCCGCCTCCCTCTTTGGTCCACTCACCACTGAACTTTGCTCTAGGCATTAAGAAAATAATACGTAATTAGTGATCCGTGAGCTTGGTTGTTAGATCAGTCGTGTCTCTGCTCCATCTTGTGGACATTCAACCATATTTTCTCTGTCTCATGTGGAAGATGTCACGGGAGGTTTTCTGCACTGTGTCCACTGCATTCTCTGGCTCTGCTCCTTGTCCAAAATGGAAAAGAGTGTGGTCTGGGGTGACCAGGTTTTTGTGCACACTCGGAGACTTACCACACTTGGTCCTCCATCCTCTCTCATCTGTAAGGTGCTGGGCTCCATCAGGCGATTTCCCACATTCCTTCTGACCAAAGCTTTAGGAGCAGGGGCTGGGGCCCTGCACACTCACCAGTGAGGAGTTGGCTCACCGGTGCTGCTGGGGCCCACGTGAGATGCTGCGCCCACAGCTCCAGCTTCACCCAGAGAGCCGCGAGAGGTGCTCGCAGAGAGAGGCTGGGTGGGGATGGCTTTCTCATTGGCAGGCAAGGCAGTGTGGGTCAAGTCAGTCAGGGGGAAACAAGAACAGCAGCTTTGATTCCTGGGATGTTCTCTGCCCTCCTCCCCCACCCTGATCTCCCCCATAGGAACCTAACTATGTATCTCAGTCCTAGAATGTGAGGAATGTGCCAGAGCCTGATAGGCCTGAAGCAATCTGCAGAGAGGCAGGGAGGAGCACAACTCCCCAGTCAGAGGCCTGACAGTGTAAGGACTCTGGGTCCTGAGGGCTGGGCTTCCCCTCCCCTCCTTCCTGGGCCTCCTGCTGCAGCCCGATCTCAAAGGCTGCATTGTGAGTTGAACTGGGTTTTGGTCCCTAGTGTGCCAGGGAGGAGGCGGGAGGAGGGACACCACTGGGAGGCTGTCCCCTCCCAGTGCTCTTCTGGCTGGTGTTCCCAGGGGCCTTGGCCTGGGGAGAATGATGCACACATGGGTGGCTGCTTCTGCATTCCGGGGGAGCCGAGTCTGTCCTGGGGCCCAGGTGAGTTTCCCGGGGGGGCCTTGGCATGTGGAGTCGCTGAGGTGGTTGGTCCAGTGAAGACTCAGGGATCTGCTGGGTTGGGAAAGTTACTTTTCCAAAGACGGGGAGATGGCTCTGCTTTCTGGCCCCCCCTCCTCTTTCCCTCATTCAGTATTTGTCATTCTGGCTTTGTGAAAAGGGAGTAGACCTTGGGAAACTTCTACTTTTCCTGACGAGAGAGACTTTGAGCTCACTCTGTGAGAAGCCAGTGCTGCTCTTGGCTGCTACTCGCAGGGTGTGACTAACCCCTTCCGTCTTTTCTTCCCAGGATTCCCTAGGTCAGGAAGGAACCTCAGGCAGTGAATGCCTTTGGGGCCTGCGGGTGGTCATAAATTTGGCCTTCGTCACTCAACCCTATTTTCATCAGTGTTGCTGTCACTAGAGAAAAACAGGCAATTTCCTGCCTCCCACCTATTACAGTGTGATTTCTTTTCTTTCTTTTCTTTTCTTTTCTTTTCTTTTTTTACGTCAGCTTGAGGCCATGGAGACTTGTTGCCCAAGAAATTGTCAAGTCATCTGAGACTTCACATCAGGTGACCCACCATCCCAGTTTGTCTGGGCCTGAAGACTTTCTCAGGATGCAGTCAGTGCTAAAACCAGAAGAGTCCCGGGCAACCAGGGTGGTTAGTCACCCTAATGCAAGCTCCTTGCTTCTTTTCAGAGCAGGACCGAGGTGGGGCCCTGCCATCTGGAGCAGGGCATTTATCAGGATGTGTGACAGCTTTGAGGAAAGGTGGCAGAGTCAGGGAGGACTTGCTTGGGAGATAAGAGAGCACCATGCCAAGGAATCATTCCCAACCCTTGTTAGGATTCCATGTCTTCCTGGAGTTCCATGTGGTTCCTTGGAAGAAGAACTCCGGAGAAACCCTAGCCAAGGCAAACAGATTCGCAAATGATGCCCTTGGCACAAAAGGCACAACCTTTAGCTATGAAAACATTTTGTGTCTCCAGATTTCTAAGATTTAGATAGTTTTCAGACCCTTTCCCTAAATCGTGTTGCCCTTGTACCCTACGGGAGCAGATGCTGAATGGAGTGTGGGGGAACATGAAGGACCACTGGTCCACCAGCCAGGGACCTGGGTTCTAGATCCAACTCAGTCTACCCTCACTTGGGCAGGCATCATCATGGTGAATCACCTGGTCTTTGAGGGCAAAGTGTCTGGCTTGATCTTGGTTCTTTGACTTAACTTGAGCAATTTACTTACCCTCTCTGTTTCAGTTCCTCCATCAGATTTGTGATATAATTATGCATTGCTCATAGAGTTGTGGTAGGGATTAAGTTTCACACTTAGAATGACCTGGCACACAGTTAATTAAGCACAAGAAATGTCAGCCATATTAATTACATTTCTATGACCCTAGCTTATCAAGCTCTCTCTTTAGGCCTTTGTTTGCTCATCTATAAGATGAGGGATTGTAAGCTTGGCCAGCAGAGGTGCCCTAGGGAGCTCTGCTCCTGCTTTCTGACCCCCAGCCACAGCTGGAGCAGCTCTGCTTCTGTCTGACATCCTGTCCTCAGCCCAAGATTTCATGTACAAGAGTTCTGTGGCTCCAGACCAACCAGCCAACCAAGCAACACTGAAGAAAGCATCCTCAAAGTTCTTATGACATTATCATCCAGTGATTTTATTGTTTCACCTGATTTGGGGCATCGATAAGTGGTTGGCATCCTGAATCCACTATTTCTCTGAATCAACTTGCCATTTCCTTTATCGAGGCTTTTCATGCTATTTCCCCAAACTGTTTTCTGTGCTTGTCGGCGCCTTTCCCTAGGGAGGATGATATGGGTGTTGTAGGTTTGAGGACCGTTGATACAAACATCCCTTGTTAGGCAACCCTATTTATCCTAGAGAAATGGAACAAAGTACGAGACATATCCTGGAGGGACTCCGTAGTTCTGTGACTTTGGGCAAACCTCTTATATTCTTTGAACCTCAGTTTTCCTGTCTGTAAACTGGATCTAATGGTACCCTCTATCAATGGAGTTTTGGGTGAGGATTACATCAGATAATTCATCTCATGGATTTAGCACAGGGTCTGGCTTCTGATAATCCCTCAGTAATTATGGGTTGTTTTATTGTTCCCTAGTAAAGACTATTCCCGTAACCCTTCTTCCTAATTCCTAGCCCCACTGTGCTCCTGTTTCTGGCTGCTTCTGCCATTACAACTGTTTAAGGGGGAGTCAGCAGGGAGGACCAGCAGTCCTCAGGGGGTAAGAAAGGCAGGAAAGGGGAAGGCTGTCGGTAGCACTGAACCCTGGACGGATGCCTAGCTGGTTTGCCACAGTGTCACACAATGACGAATGTTGGCTCTGGCCACCCCAGGTGACCTGCATTTTCACACAGATGCCTGCAGCATCTGTTCCATAATATTTCTCATTTGCTCACATAAGTCTCCCGACTGTGCATGGTGAGAGGTCCTGGTTCTGGTCAATTGCCCTCATGTCTGTCTTCCTGGACCCTTGGAGATTCTTGCTGCTATTTAATAAATTATAGTTGCTCACTGAGGATCACAGAGTAAGTCATGTCAAAGCTCATTGACCTAAAAACTTCTAGCACTGCCCCGTTATCATCAACACTTTCTTGAGGAAATTTGGCAGACTGACACTCTTAAACAGGGGCTGTGAGAGAGAACATTTGCCTATATTGATCGCTGGTGTTTTTAACTTTCAACATTTTTGGTAAATGTGAATCATGAGTATAATAATAGGAAATCGAGGGAGAAGGCTGGCAATAGTGAATGATGCCTCATATTTGAACTTTAGAAAGCTTGCGAGGCATTTTGAACTTACTGATAATAGAGAATTTCAGAACAATAAACCCACCATCTAGCTTTAGCACATTTCTACACTCTACCACATCTGTTTCAGAATATCTTTATTTCATTCTCTTAAAGAACAATAAAACATTGCAGGTGCAAGGAGGGTCCCCCTGTAGTTCTCCCCAGTCTCATTTCCCTTCCTCCCTTCCTCCCCAGAGTTAATTACTTTCATGAATTCAGTGATTTTGTGCTTTTATTACATGTTCCTGTGCTCCTAATCATTGCAAAGAATTTCTTTCTGAAGATTTTGATGCTGAACCAAAATGGTAGTGTTATGCAACTTGCTTTTTCCCCCTCCCTCCACATGATGATTGGAGATGGAGCCATGGCTATGATTTAACATCTGTCCTAACAAGTGTAGGTTTACATCTTAAAACTTGCTGGTGGTGTGACCTTCAGGTCAAAGAAGGAAAAAAAATATGGAGGTGGAGAAAAAAAGCACGCAGGGAAACAGTTCTTCAAGCTTTCTTCTTAAAGTTGGGGTGGAAGGTAGGAGAAAGGAGAGACTGAGAGAGGAGAGAGCTCACGTCCAACAAGTTGCTGAGAGTGAGATGTTTCCAGATTCGAGCCTGCAGACCTCAGAGATCTGAGGTCAGGTTGACGTCATGGTGGCAGCATAGTCTGCCCCCAGGGATCTGGATGGCCTCTGACTCTGTCGCGGAACGTGCTCTGGGACCTTGGTAGAATCACTACTCCTTTGTTTCTTCGAAGCAAAATGAGGAGTAGAAACGAAATGATCTCTTAAATCCCTTCTATCTATTCATTTTCTGTAATGATTGCCTCTTCCTTATTTTTATCCCTCATCCTCAATATGTCAAGATGCTTTCTCTCTTCTAACTTTAAAATGCCAAGTCATTCATGATATTCCCTCACTTCTCATTTGCCAAAATCACAGCGCACAGCCTCACGCTTACACGCCTGGATTGCCAGACAGCTTTTTGGCTGGCCTCCCTGCCTCTCGTCTTCTCCCCTGTTCTTCTTGTGCCACCCCAGGTAGAATTTCCATTGTTATTAGGCCATTCCCATGCTTGAGAATGCTTCATGCCTCCCTATGGCTTGCTGTATCTATTCTAAATTCCTCTGCTTGCCTTGAAATGCGGTCCCTATCCTGACTCTACTGTATTTATCAATTTTAGCCCCGTGATCACTGACCTCTCTGGTACGTACAGCCTGGCTTCTGCTGTCTCTGTGTATGCAAAGTTCATTCCCCCTTGTCTTGCTGATCTCTTTGCCAGTAATTTTGCTCCCCTCCCTCCCTCCCCCCATATAAATCTACCAAGAAAGTGAAAAAGAAGCCACAGACTCAGGGATAATACATGAAAACCACATATCTGATACTTGTATCCAGAACATTAAAAAAAAAAACAAAAAAACAAAACAAAACAAAAAAACACCCTGGGACATCTGGGTGGCTCAGTTAGTGAGGCATCCTCCTTCGGCTCAAGTCATGATCCCACGGTCCTTGGATCGAGTCCCACATTGGGCTCCTTGCTCAGCGGGGAGTCTGCTTCTCCCTCTTGCAGCTCTGCCTGCCACTTGCTCTCTCTCTGACAAATAAATAAAATCTTTAAAAAATCTCACCCTTATAACCAGTAATGAGAAGGTAAATAACTTAATTAAATGGAACAAAAGGTTTGTAAAGACACTTTCATTCAGAAAATGTATGTCTGGCAAATAAGCACATGAAAAAAAATGCTCAACATCATTAGTTATTAAGGAAATGTCAGTTGAAACAGTGAGATAAAACTACACACCTATAGAATGGCTAAAATTAAAAAGCCTGATAATATCAGAGGTTGGTGGGGATATGGAGCAACTGGAAACCAGAACTCTCTTTACATTGCTGATGGGAATGCAAAACGTTATGGCTGCTTTGGAAAGCAGTTTGGCAGTTTTTAAATAAATCTCAATTTTTTTTAATTAGTAACTTTTTCTCACCCATGATAATAATAATAACAAAAACGATACTAGCTTATACCAAAAGTAATTTATTGATTCATAAATGAAAAGTCCAGGGGTTGTTTGCTTTACGTATGGCTGGATCAAGATATTCAAATGATGTTATCAGAAAGTTATCTTTCCTAAACTCCTAAACTTTTGTTGGGTTGGCCTCAACCTCAGGCAGGCCCTCACCCTGTGGTAGGTCCCCCCGTTGCAGGCTGTCATAGTCACAACTCCTAGTGCAATGAAAATAAATCTCTTCCTGCAGGGTGTTGATGAGGGTCCTAGGACTAGTTCTCATTGGCTTCACCTTGGTTATGTGGCCATGGCATAACATAACATGATTGGCTTATGCTTGAGTCCGCTGCCCACCTTTGGAGCTAGGGACGGAGTCATCCCCACCTGAACCACATGGACTGGGTTTACGAGGCTCATCTGACTAATGAAGAAAGTCAGGGTTGAGTCTGGGACTGTCTAATTGCAGTCTTTGTTCTTAGCCATTTTTTTACCTGCCTTCAGTGTTAGAAAACAAATGTGTGTCTATTACAGGATATTTGGAAAGTGGACAAAAGTAGACAAAAAGATGATGAAAAATGATTCAGCACTAGCCACTATGAACCTTCTGGTCTATTTCCTTTCAGTCATTAAAGAAATCATACTTTTTTTAAAAACATACTTCATTCCATATGATAGCTTTTTGTTGCCTTGATTTGTCTCTAGTCCTTTTTTTTAAGGCCCAGCTAAGTCTTCATTCTTTCATGTTGAAATACAATCCATGTGCAAAAGAGTTCTGTAAACTATGAATCTCTGTGTAGCTATTAACTGTTCTTCCTATTATGTGGCTCACCCAAATTTTCCAGATTCCTTATTGTGTCTCAAATGGTTGTCCTCTGGCTCATGGGTCCCCAGGCAGCTGGTGAATAGGCTCTCTCTACTCCAGAGATTCTCATACTTTAGAGTACAAGAGAAATCCTCAAGACGCTAATTGAAAATGCACATCTCCAGACTCTACCCCTAGATATTTGGATGTGAAGTAGGTAGAGAATCGCTCAAGGAATATTTCTGAATTTTTCTTCTATCAAAATTTACCATTTATACAGAACTACACACAAAATTACATGTGTACAGCTTAGTGAATTTTCACAAGGTGAACATATCCATCTATACTGCTTCCTGGGGTTGTCATTCATTTATTCTTATTGCTTTATTGTACTTAATTGTATATACTATCACTTACTTGTCCATTCTTGTGTAGATGGACATTGGCTTGTTGCCAGGTTTTGGGTGTTGTATTTTGGTGAACACATCTATGTATTCTTTTGAGTATATGCCTAGGAACGGAATTGCTGAATCTTACTGCAGGCATATGTCCAGCTTGAACTGATATGTCAAACAGTTTTTCCAAAGTAAAAATTTTCAAGGCTTATTCTCACACTTTCAGTACATGGGATGGGAGTTCCAGTTGCTTTGTATCCTTATGAACACTTGGCTTTATCTGTCTTTTTTATTTTAGCCAGTCTGTGTGGAGGTGTTCCACTGTGGTTTTAATTTTCATGTACCTGATGAGTTTGAGAAAATTTTCATAAATTTATTGGCCATTTGGATATTGCCTTTGATAAGTGCTTATTCATGCTTTTATCCATTTTTCTAGTGGGTTGCCTACTTGTTTCTGAAAGATGCATAGCATTCTTTATATATTCTGGATTTGAATTCTTTACATTCTGTACATTCTTTATATTTTCTTCTACTCCATCACTTACTTTTCACTCTCTTAATTGCATCTTTTGATTAACGAAAGTTCCTATCTTATCTATTATTTTTTTTTTTGTGGGTAGCACTTTTCCATCCAGTTTAGGAAATAACTGGCTACTTCAAGTCATGCAGATCTTCTTCTCTATTTTTCTTTCCTTTTTTTATTTTAAAGATTTCATTTATTTATTTATGTGTGTGTGAGAGAGAGAGAGAGCACAAGCAGGGGGAATGGCAGACAGAGAAGCAGGCTTCTCGCTGAACAGGGAGCCTGATGCGGGACTTGATCCCAGGACCCTGGGATCATGACCTGAGCAGAAGGCAGATGCTTCACCGACTGAGCCACCCAGGTGCCCCTCTTCTCTATTTTTCTACAAGTTGGCAAATATTGTAATTTTCTGCTCTAAACCTCACACATCTTTTCAGAGCTTTGTGTCCTGCCCTCTCCCTAAAGCAGAGTGGCCATGAATGTCTTTCTTCAAGGTGGGCTTACTTGGTGGGCATTCACCATCCTTAGGCTGTTGTTTCTTTCCATGCAGTGTTGCGATAGGGAGGCACTCTCGAAGCTTGCGGGGGCCGGATGTGAATGAGTAAATTTGACGGTGTGCAGACTATGGTGGACAGAGAAGGAATGCCACAGAGGGGCAGCAAACGCTTGGCCCCAGCCGACTGTGGCCACATGAGAATAAGGGCCCCGAACTACAGATCTTCCCATTTTCAAAGCAAAGCCAAGCATCTGGTTATGTAAAATTCGAACTTTAAAAATTCACTGCTGGGGAAAAGAAAAAAAGAATAACAAAAAAGAACAAAAAAAGAAAAAGAAAAAGAAAAATGATGTTTGTGGGTTTATGATGGACTCTGACCTCTAGCCTATCAGTTTTCAAACTGTCGTAGAGTAAGGAAGGAGGCAGCCACTCCAAGTGTGATCCTGGGACCAGCAGGAGCCCCCCCGCCCCAACCCAGAGCACATTAGACATGCAGAACCTCAGGCTTTCAACCTACTGAGGCAGAATCTAAATTTTATCAGTATCCTCAGGCCATTCATACACACATGAAAGTTTGAGAAGCACCGGTCTAGATGTATGGTTCCCAACACTGGCTCAAATTAGAATCGTTTGGGGAACTTAAAAGAATTTCTATGGCTGGGCTTCACTATGAACCACATAAATCAGCATTTCTGGAGATGGGGCCTAGGCGCTGCTATTTTTAAAAAGCAATCTGAGTGATTCAAATAGGCAGTCAGTGTTGAGAACCACTAACTTAGATTTATCTGTCATTTGTGAGTGGGAAAAGTGAAACTTCAGAAAAGGGAAGGATGGAATGCCTTGCCCAAGGTCATTAACTAATGTATGGGAGAATCTGATGTGTGCTCAACCTCTTATCTCATGATTCCCAAGCCAGTGCCCTTTTGCTACAGTTGCCTTTGGTTCCTGGGGGCAGAAGTACAAAATGATCCAGTTCATCGATAGCTCATTACTGCCAGCTTCAGCTAAGCTGCTTTCAACACTGAACCTCTAACAAGACTGGATGATGAGCTGTGAGCTGATGGGCCCCTCCTTCTGCCTATTCAAACCCAAATCCACTTCATTCTCCCTATGCATCACCCCAAAAAGTGCTAACTGCTCCTGCTATGAAGAAATGGAATGTCCTCCATTTGGGACTCATAATCTCACTGTGTAGGCATGGAGCAGGGAGGGGAGGCACAGACATCTGGGCAGCCATGTGAGGATTTGGGGTCAGCATTCATCAACAGTGAGTGGATGGAGTGTGATGGGTGGTCCCTTATCCCTCTTGGGCTGCCTCAGTAGAAGAACAGGTCCACAATGCAAAATGGGTTGGTCTGTTTAACTCTGATCTAGTCTAATTTTACAATTGAAGAACCTGGGAGAATTAAGTGAGGGACTTGCAAACAGTGATTGAGCCAAGATTCTTTTTTTTTCTCTAAGATTTATTTATTTATTTTGAGAGAGTGAGAATGAGAGAGAGAGAAAGAGTACATGAGAGGGGGAAGGGTTAGAGGGAGAAGCAGGCTCCTCGCCGAGCAGGGAGCCCAATGCGGGACTCGATCCCGGGACTCCAGGATCATGACCTGAGCCGAAGGCAGTCGCTTAACCAACTGAGCCACCCAGGCGCCCCGAGCCAAGATTCTTAACCCCTCTTTCCAGGCCCAGGCAGTGCTTATAGTATTCTGACCCCATGGTATAGTCCTTGAACAGTTCCATGGTCAAAGGAACAGACTAACCAAAAGTAATGTGTTACGGACTTGAGTTCCCTTGTTGTATTTTGGGGATACCATGAGGGAGGCGCACATTTCATAGTGATGCTTGTGAAATTTCCTTCTATTCTTTTATATCCACTGCCTCGTGCTTTACAGCTTCTTGTCTTCTCTTTTCAACTGTCTGCCATCAAAATAGCCTCCTCCCTAAGCCTAGCCCGTGCCATGATCTTCTTTCTTCTCCTTTCCGCTCCAGTTCAACAGTGGCAAAGACAGGAACGTTTTGGAGATCTGAGGAGAAGTCCCATACAGGACTCTTGGGGGCAAACAGTCTGGTGACCATCAGTATGTTTCAAGTCCATTACAAGCATGACCAGCCATCTCCCTAATGATGCCACCCTCCCTTGCTCTACTCCAGCACTTCCGTTATCTACCCACTGACCTTAAACCTTGCTGCAGTCAGATCTATAATGACATTTTAGGTTCAATGTATATTGAGCATTTTCAGTGTCCTCAGCCGTGGGACTCATTCTGACCCGTGAGTGGGACTCTGTCTTATTTATTTATTTTAAATAAAACAGGGATACTCAGGCTACTGCAGAATTGAGATAGCAGGTATGACAGGTCTTTGATAACAGTTGAGTACAAAATAATTAGTAAGCAATTGGTGATAGCAGGGAGAATTCTTCCATGCCACCTGCCCTGGAGAAAAAATTGTCACTTGACAGCGACTTGCAGTCCATGCTTATATCTCGCTTACACTCATACAAATGATCTTTCATTTGATCTCCTCCAGGTAAAGAAACTCCTTCCAAGGATCCAACCATATCAAGTGAGTTTATAGTCTCATCTGAAGACAAGGAAAAATGTTTCCTGCCACAGAACATGACTCCAGGTATCTAAACCCCAAAGAGAAGCCCTATTTTTTTTAAGTATTTTTCATGTAGAATACCACAGTATCCTCCCTATCTCTCCCATCTGCAGGCTCCTTTCCTTTTATCTTTTCTAGGCACCACCATCTTTGTAGGTATGACCTTGAATGTGGTATTCACTTGCTTACAAATCTTCCAATGCTCTCCATTGCTTGCAAGATTAAGTTAAAGCTTCTCAGGTGAACACTCAAAGCCCTTTACAATCTGGCACATATTAGGAGCTCCATATATATTTGCTCTACTGAAGAAAGTATATCATCAATTAAATATTAAGGTGCTGGAGGGCAGAGGTAATTTTTTGGAAGACTTATGTATTTATTCTACATGGTATCTTAAAGATTTATTTGTACATGGCTGGTTTTTCAGAAAATGTTTGGTAAATAAATACACAAATTGTTGAATAAATATGTGGAGGTCATGTTCGTATTCTCTATACAGTACCTTATACATAGCAGGTTCTCAATAATCACTTGTTAAGTAAATGCATAAGTGAATAAAGGGTTGAATATGTGGGGTGAGATGGGCCAAGCAGAAGAGCAGCTGTATGAATCTTTCAGAAGCAGAACAAGATTTTGAAATTAACATGAAAGAAATCCTATTCTCAAGACACAGCTTTCACAAGGTTCCTGGTAAGAGACCTCAACGGAGCTGGCGAGACGTTGGCAGCAGAGGGTGGTGTACCTGGGCTGAACTTTGTGCCAGAAGCTCTGGGGATTAACCCGCAGAAGACCCAGTGTCTGTCATATAGTAACAGGGACCATTTTGGGAGACAAATCGTGTGCCAAGCAGGTGCTAAATGATCGCCTCTCATTCTCACGTGTGCACCTCTAGGAGGTGCCACCAAACTCCCCATTTCAAAGGTGGCAGAGTCTCAGAGAGGAAGGCAGCCTCCCCACTGCCACACAGCTAGTCTGTGATGAGAGGGGTTCAAACCCCTGTCCTTGTTCATAGCCACGATGCTTCATTGCCCCTCCAAATATGTACTTCTCTCGGGCAGACAAACGATAGATTTGTGAAAAAGATTTACATTAAGAATGGTTCAAAGGACATAGACCAGGTGAATGGATGGTGTTTACATGTCATACCAGGTTCTTTCTTTTCCTATTTTCAGATTCGGTCAAACTGCTGGGCTGGCCATGAGAAAAACCGTGCCCTTTCTTGTTCTTGTATCAGTCTGCTTCTTTGTCTGTTAGCTTGGGCTGTCCTCGACAAAAGGTGACTCACCACCTGTTGTTTCTTGAATGCAGTGCAGTCAGCATTTTGCCTTATCAGTGCATGAAGGCCAATGAACAAAGGAGGGGCTGAACTTGTCTGTCTTTTAGCGTTTTCCACCATGATGAACTGTTTCCAGGAAAGTCACTGAGTGAGAAGGGAACATTCCACCCCAGCCTCCAATCTCTCCTTTATGCAGAAGAGTCACCAACAAAATCAATCAGATACATTAACATGATTAAACGACCAGTTTTCAGAAGGACTTAGAAAAAATGACAGCGTATATTTCATACTAACACTGGAGTGAACTTGATTTATTTCCTCATCTGGTCTGCTGAGGGCACTGTAGGATCTCACAGTGGGGTGCAGACAGGAGGCTCTTGAGTGGCAGCTCTTAACTGCTGAGTTCTCAAAAGCAGTTTGCTTATTTAAATCCAGGTCTTTTGAGTGACAGATCCAAGGATTCATATGCTGGACAAGGAGAGCCACACCGAAGGGGCTGTCATTCATTGGGGGCTATTGTGAGAGATTCTAGAAGGGAGTTTGGATCAGGCTTTGGAAGGACAGGAGAGATGGGTTTGGTGAAAAGGAGAAATAGAACCAGTCAGAGTCAAGGTTGAATACAAGTGTGACAAGATGAGGGCAGAGGGAGCAGTAGAGTTAACAGCTAATGCTTCACGTGTTAATTGAATATTTATTGTGTAGGAGGCACCGAACAAAAAGGTTTAAATGCATAATCTCATTTGTAAGCCTCTTAAAAGCGCCGTGAAATAGGTACTATTCTCATTTTGCTAATGAGAAAAGTCAAGTGTAGAGAGGTCATTAACTGCTCAGCACGGCACAGTGAGTGAGGGCAGAGCCAAGCCTTGAGTCCAGGTCTGTGTGACTCCGCCTCCCTGGGCTTCACCTCCTCCTAGAGGTCAGTGTGCTGATCGCTGAGGCTACCAGACAGAGGTCTGGGTCGGACAGCTGAAGATGGGGGGCTTGGCTGAGGTTAGAACACAGGCCATGGAAGAAGAGAGTGGAACAAACATCTGCCCGCAGTTCACACCCATGTCAGGTTGGTGGGGTATGTCCTATTGCAGCTGGCCAGAAGCCACAGCATTTTCAGGACTTCTTGGTTAAAAAGGGGCCTTTTAAATGTGGGAGTTCAGGCTGCCTTGTGTTACCACGGCCCAGCAGGAGAGGGGCTGTCTTTAATGGGCTCAGGGATTCGCAAAGTCCCTGGCAAGTTAGGGCTAGAAGAGAGACCTCCATGATTATCCAGTCCAATGCCTGTTTGGTTCATTGTATTTGATAATTATTAACACGATAGCTACTTATTGTCTAAAGAAGACGTGGCAAAGTGCAATTGTAAGGTGAACCTCCTCAGGGTGGCCTTTTCCAACAATACTGTCCAAAGGCGTCATGCTGTCTGTTAACCCAATTACATTGCTTTCTTAGCACTTTTCTCTATCCAAAATTATTATGTTCATAGAATTGATTACTTGCAGAGAATACAAGCTCCGTGAGAACAGGGACCACCTCTATTTTGTCTCCTGCTGTATCCCAGCACCTGAAACAGCTTTTGCTCATAGTATTGGTGAAATAAATGTGCATTTTGAAGAAATTAAAGATAGACTTTAATACATTAAGCAACTACCCTGGCAAACATTAATAAACTCATTATTAGAAACAGTTGAGAGAAAATGTATGGTGTATACATAATGCATAAAGTATAGACTATTACATATCATAAATTTGACATATAAATAATTTCCATATATATGGATAAATTAGTATTTGTTCAAAACTTTCACAAATCATCCACAGGAAGATATATATGTCTAGTTCTTCTTGTTGGCACTGTCACCTCGGTGCCAGGAAGCCTAGGAACATACCTTGTTCAAAGCAGAAATAACAACAGCAACTCCTGGGATTCTGGAACACTCCCAGGCCTCAGCCTTTTCTTTCTTTCTTTTTTTCTCTTGGGGGACATTTTAAAGGAGGTACTCAGGAGATCGTTAAGATTACTTATAATCTCTAATTAATGAGGACACTAATTTAAGATTTAGGTGTGGGAAACATTGGGGTTCACCTAATTCTTTTTTCTCTTTTGTTGCATTTCCAGCCTGACCTGATTGCATTTCTGTGTTCTCTTTAAGATCTGACGCTCTCCTTCAGTGTGAAGAGCCGCTCCCGAAGATGCGTAAACGGCCTCCTGCAGGAAGCGGCCAGGAGGCGGCTCTGGGCCCTGGAGAATGAGGATCAGGAGGTGCGTGCCCTGTTTCAGGTGAGCTGGGGTGGCCCGGTGCAATTCTGAGCCTGCCTTCTGTCCGGCCGCTGCATGGCTCGCCAGCACCTAGGACAGCGCCAGGAACAAAGTAGGCCCTCAAGATTAACAGCTGAAGGAAGGAAAGAATGATGAAAATGTACACATTTGCTGCTCAGCAAGAATAGGCACAACTCAGAATGGGGCAAACTCTGAGTTGCAGAGTCAGAGAAAAAACTGTCAAATCTGCCACTCATAGCTGTTTGACCTTCTACAAGCGACTCACCCGTGTAGGATGAGAATTGTTATGATTATTTACCTCATGAAGTATAGCTTTAAAAAAATGTGGTAAATTGGAATTTTGTTGTTTGTTTCATTGTGATAAAATAGACGTAACATAAATTTTCAACGTTAATTTTTTTCAGTGTACAATTCAGTGGCATCAATACACTCACATTGTTATTCACCCATCACCACTATCCATTCCAGAACTTTTTCATCATCCCAAACTGAAACTCTGTATCTACTATACAATAAGCCCCTCCCATCCCCTTCCCTCACCACTGGTAACCACTAAGTATACTTTTTTTTAAGTACCCAAATTGCCAATCAAAAATTAATAACTATAAATTCTAGAATGAGAGGAGAAAAAGGCAATCAAGTAAATAAACCAGTTCCTCCTTTCATAGTGGGTAGCTAGTATCTTCAGTTGTTAAACCAAGGAAGAAGGGTAAGACCAAATTATTTACAGTTTAGGAGAGATTCTTTTTTTTTTTTAGAGAATTTATAAGTTCTTTTTAAAGAACTTATCCGTTTATCTGACAGAGAGAGCACAAGCTGGAGGAGCGGTGGGTAGAGGGAGAGGGAGAAACAGGCTCCCTGCTTAGCAGGGCTCTATCCCAGGACCCTGGGATCACAACCCCAGCTGAAGGCAGATGCATAACTGACTGAGCCACCCAGGTGTCCCCTGGGAGGGACTTAGGAAGAGAACCAAAGTCAGAAATGGTTAAAAGTTGTTGCAACTGGAGGGGAGAAAAAGAATATTACTTCATGTAATAAACTATTATGTTCTAGTTATTTTTACAGTCTCTGAATTAATTTGATACAAATTAAAAAGGGAAATGTGTTCTATTAATCTGTCATGTAAAAAAAAAAAGACTGGTTTGTCGGGAGGAGTCGGTATCTGTAGAGAGCTTGGCACTTTGCTTGGGTGGTGGCATGTGCTTCCTAAATAGCAGATAAAGTATAAATAGTAGGGTTTTTTTTTTTAATTTCCAGAATTCAGAAACTTGGAGGCATGAGCTGCTAACTAGCACCATCATTTTTTAAAATTTGAGGCACTTTTGGCGTGGGCAGGAGCTGGGTTTGATTGAGCCAGGTAGTCTGCTGGGCTGAGGGTTGAGCCGGGCCAGCTTGTGTGCGGGAGCAGAGACCTGGAGTCAGCTGGATCTAGGCTCCAGTCAGTGGGGCCATTGCCTACGCTCAGGTGACCCGGGGCAAATTGCTTAACCTGTCCGTGCCTGGTCCTCCTTGACTCTAACACATGGATAATGCCATTTTCTATTAAAGCTGAGATGCCATTTGATTATAAAATGCAGAAATATTTTATATACCTCAAAGAAAGGGAAATAAATGCTGCCAATTAAGTAGGATGCCATGCTTCCTTATCTTTTATTTCAGAAATAATTAAATGTGGTAAAAGTGCATCTTAGAATGGATTAAATAGTGTAATTGTACTCTCTGCATAGGATTATTGTGAGTTAAATGAAGCGTTGTTCATAGATTGGTGAAGTGCCTGTCAATTGATGAATCTCCTGGAAATTGGTTTTTATCTAGAACCCCTTCCCTGATAATAGGCTCTGGGGACTCCTGGGGCCTGGTATGGGAGAACCCCAGAGTTATGGCTTTGCTGACCTAGGGGCTCTTCCTCTCTTCCTTCCTCTCTTTCTATCCTCTTCTTTCCACAGGGTTCCCCCAGAGCAGCGTTCCAGGGGTTGATCTTTGATCGCAGGACCTGGCCTGGGGGAGGAAGGATGTTCTCACCATCACTCATTGTAGTCAACTCTAGCAGCTTGGACAAGCAACAGAGAAAGATTTTAGGGGAAAACCAAGTCTGTACAGTAGGTCAGGCCTATTTTCTCAGGTATTAAAAAAAAAGGGAGCAGGGGAGCAATGCAAATTGGCACCACCCAGCCTTTCCGGAGGGCAGTATGGCTCCTGCATTTTAGGATTGGAAATGTAGATATCTGCATTCCCAACTGCCCTTCTCAGAATTATTTGTGTCAAAACAATCAAAGATGTGTACAAAGATTGAGGACGTTTATCACAGTACTGTTTAGGATGGTAAATGAAAATAACTCAATCGTCTAACCATAGGAAATACTAACTAAGGATTATGTTAGTGTAACAGTGACATATGTAACGGTTGAAAATAATGTAAATTGTTTAATGATGTGGGAGATGGTTCCCGAAATATTGTTTAGTTTCAAAAAATTATAGAACAATTTATGTCATGTGATTCTATTTATATAAAAACAGTTACATGGAAACTCCTGCATAGGAAAAAGGATTCAAAGTTAATACACTAAAGTGTTAACACTGATGAGCTCTAGGAGGAGGGACTATGGATGGTTTTTGTTTTTGTGTAATTTGCTTTTTCTGTTTGTCAGCTTTATAAAAATAATCATTAGACATAGATTCACAATCAAACTTGCTTCCAATGTGCCTTCTCTTATTTATCCTTCAGCTTCCCCCATACACCTTTAAAAAAAAAACACACACACACAAAGTAGCGTTCTTTGCACACAGTTCTGCATCCTGGTTCCTTTCTGTTGCTGCTATACATCTAGCAGTGTGTATTTGAAGGCTGCATCAGTGCACAAAGAATTTCCTCATTCTTTTTTATGGCTGCATAATATCATAATATTCTATTGCATGGATGAATCAGAATTCATTTTAACCAGTCTCCCATTGATGGACATTTAGGTTATTTCCTTTTTTTTCTTTTTCTATTTTTTTTTTTTTTTGTGGTGTAAAAAAACCCAGCGCTACAATCAAGAAAATCACATGAAGCATTTTGCACTTCTCTGAGATTATTGACAGGATGCGGTCATCCTAGGCTGACTCACTGTTCTTTTTACCCAGGACCTCTCAGCCAGGTTGGTGGGCATCCAGTCCCAGAAAGCTCAGTTCCTCATCACCTTCAAGACCATGGAGGAAATCTGGAAGTTTTCCACCTACTTGAACTTAGGTATGACATGGAGCAGGTGGGTGGAGGAGAACCTACATCTTGGTTCAGCCAATTTGTAAGGGCTTGACATTAGGGAATCGGCCTGGCTCTGATAATTAAAAGAGGTAGAGCCCTGACACGGATGGTTAACTTTTGAACTATCACAAACTGCCTAGAACTAAATCTAAAGCAAATATTAACTATTACTCTCAAATGCAATGCGCAACATTACTTTGTTTTCAGGGAGAGACTACTTTCTTCAATAATCAATCCATTGGTAAACAGTTCTTGGTGATCACTAAATTTGAAGGACTGTGAGAGATGCAGAATGATGGTTTAAAAAAAAAAAAAGGAACCAGTCTTGGGTCAGATCAAAGTAGCTGCTCAAAATAGTACAGTTGTGGATACTTTAGCCCATGTTTTTGGAAAAGAGTCAAAGAAAGAGATGGGGGAGTTATCTGCTAAAGGGGACTCGGATTGCAGGGTTTTCTAGGAAGTGACCTTGTGTAGGGGTGGAGGGTCAAGATAGCTCTTGGCTAGAGGGTAGAACTTCTCTCGTGGTTATGTTGATTTTCTGCTCACCACACTGTGCAATTCCTTCCACGATCGTTTATAGAGACCCGTCTTCAATTCAAAGTGTGCTCCATGGACCAGCAGCATCAGCATCATGCGGATCTTGTTAGAAAAGTAGAAACCCAGGCCCCATCCCAGATCTACTGAACCAGTATCTGTATTTTAATAAGATCCCCAGGTGATTTGTGTACATCTTAAAGTACAAGAAGCACATGAGGCCTAAGTAGATAGAACAGAGTCAGAATGGAAAGAAACAGGTTTTTGCATCTTAAGAAAGAGGAAGTCAAAAGAAGCAAAATGTTAACACAAATAATTTACATTTGTAGGCATGTTTGAAATACTATCCATAATTGCAATTTGCTTAGTATCTAGTCTGGTTTTAACAAGGGAGAACATGCTGGGCATGAATGATGGAGAGAATCAGAGAAGGGATGGTAAAGTGAATCCCAACTCCTTTGTGGGTCGTGGACACCGCCCCCCCCCAGCCACTGCATCGTCAAGGGTACAGGCATTTGAACCTCAAGTGAGGAAAACTTTAAGGGGGGGGACCAGGACCCCCCAGAGTCCAAATTAGAATCTCGGAAATTCCTCTATGGACGTATTAGAAAAAGGTAATTAGATTTGGTCATCTCATTAGGCATTTATGGAAACCCATAATGGGCTGAAAGGAGTAAATGTCATTTAAAAATGACTTGTGTTTCCCTACAGATGCTGAGAAGAATCAGTTCACTCTAGAAATTTTCTAGCTACCTCACTATGTTCTTCTAATTCCAGTTAAATGGGATCAGGTTGGGGACGAAGGTCTGGGAGGGAACTTCAGAAAGGAGCTTTCTCACCCTTTTCTGTACTCAGCTAATGGCAGAAATCATGTTGTTAAGGAATCACGTTGGCTTGACCTCTTAGGCTATGTGTCTGCATGTCTGGAACATGTCCTCTTTGACCATAAGTACTGGCTCAACTGCAGATTGGTGGAAGATACAGAGATCCAAGTGTCAGTGGATGAGAAACACCTGGAAACAATATACCTGGGACTCCTGATACAGGAAGGTGAGCATGGAGGGGCGGTGGGATGGGTTTTTATCTGGATATTTATTATCAGAGCCCCTGAAATAATTAGGATACAAAGGGAGGCAAAAAAAAATGTTCAAAGGTGAGAATATTCATAAATGACCCCATCTGTTACAATATTACTCCAAACATCTCACTCACTTCGACACTGATATCACATGAACAGCTATGTTTGTCAGTCTCACTGATTGTCTGATGTGAGAACCCCTTGGGGAGTTTTTATTTATTTATTTATTTAATTTTTATTTAATTTATTTATTTTTAAAGATTTTATTTATTTATTTGACAGAGAGAGGCACAGCGAGAGAGGGAACACAAGCAGGGGGGAGTGGGAGAGGGAGAAGCAGGCTTCCCGTGGAGCAGGGAGCCCGATATGGGGCTCGATCCCAGGATCCTGGGATCATGACCTGAGCCAAAGGCAGACGCTTAACGACTGAGCCACCCAGGCGCCCCCTTGGGGAGTTTTTGGAAGATGCCCTTGCCAGGGCTCCATCGGGGCCAATTGAATCTCCAGTGATAGGGGCCAGGCTTTGGTATTTTTTGAAAGTTGCCCAGGCAATTCTAACATGCATCCAAGAGTAAGAATCACTTTTTAAAATATATGATATCATTTGATTGTGAAATAAAATTGCAAATCTTGCAAAACCTGCAAGATTTCCTGAGATGGAGGCAAATGGTATTGGGGAACTTCTTGGAGCATAGGCCACTCTATTTACGATCTGGGCTACAACCAACCAGTTAATGACAGATGACATCACAGGCACATTGAAAGAGCCAGATTTGCATAGAATATTTTGCAAAAGGATTCTGTTTATGGTCACGTTGCACAAATCACAATTGAAGGAAAGAATTTCATACTGTGCTACTATAAAATCTAGTTGGAGAAATTATATTCACCCATATCAGCTAAATTTATTCTTTGTTTTGGCCCTAAGTTTAAGCAGAAGTTTGCAGTTGTAACTCAAGTTCTGTTAAATACATTTTTTAAAATAATTTTTTATTGTTATGTTAATCACCATACATTACATCATTAGTTTTTGATGTAGTGTTCCATGATTCATTGTTTGTGCA